CCTTCCTCTAGGGCTTCAGCTCAAAGAGGTCATGATACTCCTGCTGTTCCAGCTCCTGGTTATACTTCTCAATTTCCCGGTTGGCTTCTTCGACGTAGTCATTCATGAACTGGTCCATGACTGGTATCTCATTAAGGAAGGAAGAGAGCTCTGAGCCTGGAGGACAAGGGAGCCTGCCTGAGCCCAGAGGGTCCTCTAGGCAGGTGAGGGGGGTTTGCTGAGGAAGTGAGTGTCTGACCCATAGAGCGGATACCTGATGGACTCCTTGTATATACTGGCAGCACCACAGCTACAAAGAATGCGACGGCTGTTGTCACAGGGATGTTAATGAGGTCCTAGAACTGAGCCCTTCAGCTTCAGCCCTATCCATCTTTTCACAGGTTAACTGTTGTAATCAGGCTGTCTTCAACTTTTAATCATGACTCTGATGACTACAGACTTCAGGATATCACCACAGCTGCATCCAAACTATAACCCACAGGCTGGGCACAGTGGCTCACGCCTGTCATACTAGCACTTTGGGAGACTGAGGCAGACGGATCACTTGAGCCCAGGAGTTTGAGACCAGCCTGGGCAACACGGCGAGATCTCATCTCTAAGCCGGGCAGGGTTTGGCTCATGTCTGTAATCCCAGCACTTTGGGAGGCCAAGGCAGGAGGATCATATGAGGTCGGGAGTTTGAGACCAGCCTGACCAACATGAAGAAACTGCTTTTCTACTAAAAATACAAAATTAGCCGGGCATGGTGGGAGGCACCTGTAATCCCAGCTACTCGGGAGGCTGAGACAGGAGAATCGCTTGAACCCAGGAGGGAGAGGTTGCAGCAAGCTGAGATTGTGCCATTGCACTCCAGCCTGGGCAACAAGAGTGAAACGCCATCTCAAAAAAAAAAGACAAAACCAAAAAACTATAACCCACAGAGTCACATTAGCAACCACTCAATAAAGGAGCAATTTAACTTTAACAGTTATTTAGAGATTGAAATGAAAAGTTTGCCCCTGAGGTTTGCCCCTGTGCATTCCCTGCCCATCAGTAGACATGCAGAACCCAGCCTGCTCCTGGGGCTCAGACACATGGCTCTAGCAGACAACTGCTTTACAGACAGGCTCACAAACTCCCAGTCTCACTGCCCGGGATCCACACAGGGACCACGCTGTTCCAAGGATACGGGGGTGAAAATCAGTTTTGTCACCAAAGAAGTTAACAAATTGGGTGCCATTATAAAAGTAGCCTGCAGGTAGGGGTTCCAAGTGGCGTTTTACCTGTAGGAAAAAAGAGTCCTGTAATAATTATCTGACTACTTCCTACACTTCACTCACTCATTAAAAACAAACAAGTCTATTTCCCTAGCAAGACAGACTACTCTGCTATACAGAGGAGCTAGGAAGCTAACACCCCCAGCAACCCTCAAGCCCTGCCTGAGGTGGTGCCCCACCTCTCAGGTGAGGAGTTCTGGGAGGTCCTACTGGGATGAAGCTCCTATGGCACCCAGTGGTACTCATGTGTGAACACAGTCATTTTTTTTTTTTTTTTGAGATGGAGTCTTGCTTTGTCACCCAGGTTGGAGTGCAGTGGCATGATCTTGGTTCACTGCAACCTCCATCTCCTGGATTCATGCAATTCTCCTGCCTCAGCCTCCCGAGTAGCTGGGATTACAGGCATGTGCCACCACGCCTGGCTAATTTTTGTATTTTTAGTAGAGACAGGGTTTCACCATATTGATCAGGCTGGTCTTGAACTCCTGACCTCAAGTGATCCCACCTCAGCCTCCCAAAGTGCTGGGATTACAGGTGTGAGCCACCGTGCCCGGCCGTGAACACACTCTTTATTGGCTGGATCCCCCGCCCCTTTCATCCTCCTTTTTCCTATTTAGTGTCTCCTAGAATCACTTCCAAAATAAACTACCTGTACTTAACTCCTTGTTCATGGTTGGCTTCCAGGGGAACATACATTATAAGAATTACCTTATGCCCATGTTGTCCTCCCCAGGAGCATCCAGGGTTGTTTGGGCCTACAGGAGCTGTTCATGAAGGGGGTCTTCTCAAATCGAAAGCAGGGGCTCCTGGAGTCTCAGAATACTTTCCTGCCCCACCTGCTCATTACTGGGGCTGGTGACACAGTCCATCCTGGGGACCTAGACTCTATGTCCTTTTTAGCTTTTTGTCCCCAAACCCCTTAGGAAAAGGCCCCAGTGGGCATGGCGACTGAGGCAGAGGCTGGGGGTCAGAGCCTGGAGGCTGGGAGGCTCATCAAGGGGGTCTCCAATCAGCCTCTTATCCTGGCCTCAGGTTCCACAACCTTCCTATGAGCAGCTTCTGGATCTAGACAGTTTTTGCCTGGGCTCTAGCTGGTTCATCTGTAACACAGGTCTTCAGCAGTTGCTTGAACAAGGTGCCAAGGCAGGGACTCTGGTCATTAGCTTCTCCCACAAGTACTGGCTCTACTCAATCTGATGCCCAGGTCACACCAGAGGTCTCCTGCACCCTCCTCACTGAAGCTACAAAGGCCAGAATTCTGCACCCAGCTTCTTTCTATGGCCTGGGAGAAGCAAGACCTCCAGCATGTCCTAGAAATAGCTCCTCACTCAGAGAATCCAAAATACAGAGCTATGCAAGCCAAGGACAGCCCTGGGCCACTGAGGGGAGAAGCCAGGGCAAGGCACTCACGTGGATGCTCCTGATCTCCTGTTGCGTCAGCATCCCCCTGGTCTTCAAGGCTTTCCTCTGAGGCTTCTGCAGAGATGGGGAGTGGAGGGTCAGGTCCCAGCAGAACTCATGGAGTGCATGGGCAGGGGAGGGCTCTGGGCTCTATTACACGACTAAGATCCCAGCAGCGGGGAAAAGCATGTGCACTATGGCCTGGATATAATATTCTGCCTGTCTGCTCTTTGAGAAAACCACTTTCCCATCATACAGCCCTGTGAGCCAGCAGGGAACAAGCAGCAGAGGACAGCCCAGTGTTTTCATAAATGGGAACGGTCGTGCCTCTTTGTAGATTCTTATCCCTAAACCCTACCAATGAGAGGCAGACAAAAGGGCAGCCTGAGGTCCCATAGTCAAGAACCATTTAGAAGCTTATCCAAGTGAGGTAGCCCATGGCTCAGTATAAAGACAGGTCCCTAGTGAGCATCTACAGAAGACCCAGGCCCCAGCTAACTCTATTCCCAGAGTTCTAGGATGAACTAAACCCCTAACGCTGTGCTACAAGGCTTAGCACCCAAAGCTTGCAGAGAACCTGGCTCACAGAGCAAACAACATAGCAGGCCTGCCTGGAGTTTGCTCTGAGTGGCTTCTTCCCTCTCTCAAAGTGTCCCTGAAAGTGCTGGCTGGGCCAGGGAGGGGAAGCCCAGTGGGGAGGCATTAGGGAGGCAGTGGCGGGGCTTCTCAGGGCCAGCAGCAGCTCTGAGGTGTCTGGTCACATCTGTGTCAGGTCTGTCTGGGCTCTGGAAACCACCTGCTTAGCTGACTGCCGCAGCCAGTCCTTGATGCTGTCTTCCTTCAGGGAGCAGCCGATGAACACAAGGTAGCACTCCTGCTGCCCACTGCTGTCTTGAGATATGCTTTTGGAGTCCGGTGGTGATGTGGGTCCTTCCAAAACTGGCATGATGCTCAAGGAGTTGGCCAGTGTGTTGTAGCAGACCTCCATGGTCCTCTCAGAGTCTGTAAGGAGAATATACATTAGTCCCTGAGAGCCTGCCTTGAAAGGATACATCTATGCTAAGACTGTGACAATGCAGATGGTTGGGACAGATACAGGAGAAAATGCAGGAGAGAGAACTGACGTGACTGGTGGCAGCTTAGAAAGGATGGAGTAGGTGGGCACAGTGGCTCATGCTTGTGGTCCCAGCTACTCAGGAGGCTGAGGCAGGAGTACTTGAGCCCAGGAATTCAAGGCTGCAGTGAGCCGAGATTGCACCACTGTACTCCAGCCTGGGTAACAGAGGGAGACCCCATTTTTTTTTGGTTTTCATTTGTTTTTTAAAAAGGAAAGGAAAGGATGGAGTAAGAGAGAGAGAGAGGAACAAAATACGTTTCTGGCTTGGCTGATCTGGGTGATCAGGTGGACACTATTATCCCAGAAGGGAAACACAAGAGAAAAAAAAGGTTTATAGGTGGGAGAAGAGGAAGAGTTTGACTCTGCACTTGTGGCATTTGAAAGTCCGTAAGACCCTGAGCGTGAGACATCCACATAGTCCCTGGTGGTTGCTGGAATAGCCATTATGGAAGAGGTTGTTGAGGAAAAGCAAAGAAACCCCCTTGGTAGAAGTCGGGGGCTCTCAGCAGAGGCCTTAAGAGGCCAAGGGAGGAGGGCACAGACAACAGTACAACAAAAAAATTAGCTGGGTGTGATGGTGTGTTCCTGTAGTCCCAGATACTTGGGAGGCTGGGGTGGGAAGATAGCTTGATCCCGGGAGATCAAGGCTGCAGTGACCTAGGATCGCACTACTGCACTCCAGCCTGGGCAACAGAGCAAGACCCTGTGTCAAAAACAAAACAAAACAAAACAGACAAAAAACAGTACAGCACTGTTGCATGAAGGTCACACAGATGAGAATGGGAAAAAGTGTTACATGCTAAGGAGATGAGGACTAGGAGTGACTGGAGACCCAAGAAGTGGGCAAGGGCTCCCCAAAAGGCAGGATGAGAAAAGATCCAGAAAAAAGAGAGGTTAAATTTGAACAAAAAAAGAGTCAATAGCAGATCTAAATAAACAAGAGGCTGGGCGTGGTGGCTAATACCTTAATTCCAGCACTTTGGGAGGCCGAGGCAGGAGGATCACTTGAGCCCAGGAATTCAAGACATGGGCAACATAGGGAGACCTCATCTCCACAAAATAGAAAAAAAATCAGCCAGGCATGGTGGTTCACGCCTATAGTCCCACCTACTTGGGAGGCTGAGGGAGGATGATCGCTTGAGCCTGGGAGGTCAAGGCTGCAGTAAGCTGAGATCAAACCACTATACTCTGGCCTAGGTGACAAAGTGAGGCATTGTCGGTCCAAGTGACTGGTATCTCATTAAGGAAGGAAGAGAGCTCTGAGCCTGGAGGAGGCCAAGGGAGCCTGCCTGAGCCCAGAGGGACCCTCTAGGCAGGGTAGAGGGGGTTTGCTGAGGAAGTGAGTGTCTGACCCATAGAGCGGATACCTGGATGGACTCCTTGTATATACTGGCAGCACCACAGCTAAAGAATGCGACGGCTGCTGTCACAGGGATGTTAATGAGGTCCTAGAATCCGGAGCCCCTTCAGCTTCAGCCCTATCCATCTTTTCACAGGTTAACTGTTGTAATCAGGCTGTCTTCAACTTTTAATCATGACTCTGATGACTACAGACTTCAGGATATCACCACAGCTGCATCCACAAACTCATAACCCACAGGTTGGGCAGCCAGTGGCTCACGCCTGTCATACTAGCACTTTGGGAGACTGAGGCAGACGGATCACTTGAGCCCAGGAGTTTGAGACCAGCCTGGGCAACACGGCGAGATCTCATCTCTAAGCCGGGCAGGGTTTGCTCATGTCTGTAATCCCAGCACTTTGGGAGGCCAAGGCAGGAGGATCGTTGGAGTGAGGTCGGGAGTTTGAGACCAGCCTGACCAACATGAAGAAACTGCTTTCTACTAAAAATACAAAAAATTAGCCGGGCATGGTGGGAGGCACCTGTAATCCCAGCTACTCGGGAGGCTGAGACAGGAGAATCGCTTGAACCCAGGAGGGAGAGGTTGCAGCAAGCTGAGATTGTGCCATTGCACTCCAGCCTGGGCAACAAGAGTGAAACGCCATCTCAAAAAAAAAAAAAAAAAGACAAAACCAAAAAACTATAACCCACAGAGTCACATTAGCAACCACTCAATAAAGGAGCAATTTAACTTTAACAGTTATTTAGAGATTGAAATGAAAAGTTTGCCCCTGAGGTTTGCTCCCTGTGCATTCCTGCCCATCAGTAGACATGCAGAACCCAGCCTGCTCCTGGGGCTCAGACACATGGCTCTAGCAGACAACTGCTTTACAGACAGGCTCACAAACTCCCAGTCTCACTGCCCGGATCCACACAGGGACCACGCTGTTCCCAAGGATACGGGGTGGAAAAATCAGTTTTGTCACCAAAGAAGTTAACAAATTCAAAGCTACTATAAAAAGTAGCCTGCAGGTAGGGGTTCCAAGTGGCGTTTACCTGTAGGAAAAAGAGTCCTGTAATAATTATCTGACTACTTCCTACACTTCACTCACTCATTAAAAACAAACAAGTCTATTTCCTCAGCAGACAGACTACTCTGCTATACAGAGGAGCTAGGAAGCTAACACCCCAGCAACCTCCTGGAGCCCCTGCCTGAGGTGGTGCCCCACCTCTCAGGTGAGGAGTTCTGGGAGGTCCTACTGGGATGAAGCTCCTATGGCACCCAGTGGTACTAAGTGTGTGAACAATGTCATTTTTTTTTTTTTTTGAGATGGAGTCTTGCTTTGTCACCCAGGTTGGAGTGCAGTGGCATGATCTTGGTTCACTGCAACCTCCATCTCCTGGATTCATGCAATTCTCCTGCCTCAGCCTCCCGAGTAGCTGGGATTACAAGCATGTGCCACCACGCCTGGCTAATTTTTGTATTTTTAGTAGAGACAGGGTTTCACCATATTGATCAGGCTGGTCTTGAACTCCTGACCTCAAGTGATCCCACCTCAGCCTCCCAAAGTGCTGGGATTACAGGAGCCACCGTGCCCGGCCGTGAACACACTTCTTATTGGCTGGATCCCCTCGCCTTTTCATCCTCCTCCTTTTTCCTATTTAGTGTCTCCTAGAATCACTTCCAAAATAAACTACCTGTACTTAACTCCTTGTTCATGGTTGGCTTCCAGGGGAACATACATTATAAGAATTACCTTATGCCCATGTTGTCCTCCCCAGGAGCATCCAGGGTTGTTTGGGCCTACAGGAGCTGTTCATGAAGGGGGTCTTCTCAAATCGAAAGCAGGGGCTCCTGGAGTCTCAGAATACTTTCCTGCCCCACCTGCTCATTACTGGGCCAGACACAGTCCATCCTGGGGGACCCAGACTCTATGTCCTTTTAGCTTTTGTCCCCAAACCCCTTAGGAAAAGGCCCCAGTGGGCATGGCGACTGAGGCAGAGGCTGGGGTCAGGAGTTTGAGGCTGGGAGGCTCATCAAGGGGGTCTCCAATCAGCCTCTTATCCTGGCCTCAGGTTCCACAACCTTCCTATGAGCAGCTTCTGGATCTAGACAGTTTTTGCCTGGGCTCTACAGCTGGTTCATCTGTAACACAGGCTCAGCAGTTGCTTGAACAAGGTGCCAAGGCAGGGACTCTGGTCATTAGCTTCTCCCACAAGTACTGGCTCTACTCAATCTGATGCCCAGGTCACACCAGAGGTCTCCTGCACCCTCCTCACTGAAGCTACAAAGGCCAGAATTCTGCACCCAGCTTCTTTCTATGGCCTGGGAGAAGCAAGACCTCCAGCATGTCCTAGAAATAGCTCCTCACTCAGAGAATCCAAAATACAGAGCTATGCAAGCCAAGGACAGCCCTGGGCCACTGAGGGGAGAAGCCAGGGCAAGGCACTCACGTGGATGCTCCTGATCTCCTGTTGCGTCAGCATCCCCCTGGTCTTCAAGGCTTTCCTCTGAGGCTTCTGCAGAGATGGGGGAGGAGGGTCAGGTCCCAGCAGAACTCATGGAGTGCATGGGCAGGGGAGGGCTCTGGGCTCTATTACACGACTAAGATCCCAGCAGCTGGAAAAGCATGTGCACTATGGCCTGATATAATATTCTGCCTGTCTGCTCTTTTTGAGAAAACCACTTTCTATCATACAGCCCTGTGAGTCAGCAGGAACAAGCAGCAGAGGACAGCCCAGTGTTTTTCATAAATGGGAACGGTCAGGCCTCTTTGTAGATTCTTATCCCTAAACCCTACCAATGAGAGGCAGACAAAAGGGCAGCCTGAGGTCCCATAGTCAAGAACCATTTAGAAGCTTATCCAAGTGAGGTAGCCCATGGCTCGCATAAAGACAGGTCCCTAGTGAGCACTCCACAGAAGACCCAGGCCCCAGCTAACTCTATTCCCAGAGTTCTAGGATGAACTAAACTCCTAACGCTGTGCTACAAAGGCTTAGCACCCAAAGCTTGCAGAGAGAATTTGGCTCACAGAGCAAACAACATAGCAGGCCTGCCTGGAGTTTGCTCTGAGTGGCTTCTTCCCTCTCTCAAAGTGTCCCTGAAAGTGCTGGCTGGGCCAGGGAGGGGAAGCCCAGTGGGGAGGCATTAGGGAGGCAGTGGCGGGCTTTCAGGGCCAGCAGCAGCTCTGAGGTGGGTCTGTCACATCTGCCAGGTCTGTCTGGGCTCTGGAAACCACCTGCTTAGCTGACTGCCGCAGCCAGTCCTTGATGCTGTCTTCCTTCAGGGAGCAGCCGATGAACACAAGGTAGCACTCCTGCTGCCCACTGCCAGTTCCTGCAGATATGCTTTTGGAGTCCGGTGGTGATGTGGGTCCTTCCAAAACTGGCATGATGCTCAAGGAGTTGGCCAGTGTGTTGTAGCAGACCTCCATGGTCTCCCCAGAGTCTGTAAGGAGAATATACATTAGTCCCTGAGAGCCTGCCTTGAAAGGATACATCTATGCTAAGACTGTGACAATGCAGATGGGTTGGGACAGACAGGAGAAAATGCAGGAGAGAACTGACGCACCGGTGGCAGCTTAGAAAGGATGGAGTAGGTGGGCACAGTGGCTCATGCTTGTGGTCCCAGCTACTCAGGAGGCTGAGGCAGGAGTACTTGAGCCCAGGAATTCAAGGCTGCAGTGAGCCGAGATTGCACCACTGTACTCCAGCCTGGGTAACAGAGGGAGACCCCATTTTTTTTTGGTTTTCATTTGTTTTTTAAAAAGGAAAGGAAAGGATGGAGTAAGAGAGAGAGAGAGAACAAAATACGCTTGGCTTGGCTGATCTGGGTGATCAGGTGGGATAATTATATCCCAGAAGGGAAACACAAGAGAAAAAAAAGGTTTATAGGTGGGAGAAGAGGAAGAGTTTGACTCTGCACTTGTGGCATTTGAAAGTCCGTAAGACCCTGGAGCGTGAGACATCCACATAGTCCCTGTGTTGCTGGAATAGCCATTATGGAAGAGGTTGTTGAGGAAAAGCAAAGAAACCCCCTTGGTAGAAGTCGGGGTTTCAGCAGAGGCCTTAAGAGGCCAAGGGAGGAGGGCAACAGACAACAGTACAACAAAAAATTAGCTGGGTGTGATGGTGTTCCTGTAGTCCCAGATACTTGGGAGGCTGGGTGGGAAGATAGCTTGATCCCGGAGATCAAGGCTGCAGTGACTCTTAGATCGCACTACTGCACTCCAGCCTGGGCAACAGAGCAAGACCCTGTGTCAAAAACAAAACAAAACAAAACAGACAAAAAACAGTACAGCACTGTTGCATGAAGGTCACACAGATGAGAATGGGAAAAAGTGTTACATGCTAAGGAGATGAGGACTAGGAGTGACTGGAGACCCAAGAAGTGGGCAAGGGCTCCCAAAAGGCAGGGATGAGAAAAGATCCGAAAAAAAGAGAGGTTAAATTTGAACAAAAAAAGAGTCAATAGCAGATCTAAATAAACAAGAGGCTGGGCGTGGTGGCTAATACCTTAATTCCAGCACTTTGGGAGGCCGAGGCAGGAGGATCACTGAGCCTCCAGGAATTCAAGACATGGGCAACATAGGGAGACCTCATCTCCACAAAATAGAAAAAAAATCAGCCAGGCATGGTGGTTCACGCCTATAGTCCCACCTACTTGGGAGGCTGAGGGAGGATGATCGCTTGAGCCTGGGAGGTCAAGGCTGCAGTAAGCTGAGATCAAACCACTATACTCTGGCTCAGGTGACAAAGTGAGGCATTGTCGAGGCTGAGGTAGGATGATCGCTTGAGCCTGGGAGGTCAAGGCTGCAGTAAGCTGAGATCAAACCACTATACTCTGGCCTAGGTGACAAAGTGAGGCATTGTCTCAAAAAATAAAAAGAAAAAAAGAAAAAAAAATTATTTATTTATTTTATTGAGATGGAGTCTCACTCTGTCACCCAGGCTGGAGTGCAGTGGTGCAATCTCGGCTCACTGCAACCTCCACCTCCTGAGTTTAAGTGATTCTCCCCTCAGCCTCCCGAGTGCAGCTGGGATTAAAGGCATATGCCACCATGCCTGGCTAATTTTTTTTTTTTTTTTTTTTTGAGATAGAGTTTCGCTCTTGTTGCCCAAGCTGGAGTGCAGTGGCACAATCTCAGCTCACTACAACCTCCACCTCCCAGGTTCAAGTGATCCTTCTGTCTCACCCTCCCGAGTAGCTGGGATACAGGTGCCCGCCACCACGTCCAGCTAATTTTGTATTTTTAGTAGAAATGGGGTTTCACCATGTTGGTCAGGCTGGTCTCAAACTGCTGGCCTCAAATGATCCGCCTGCTTTGGCCTCCCAAAGTGCTGGGATTACAGGTGTGAGCCACCGAGCCCGGCCTAATTTTTTTAATTTTTAGTAGAGATGGGGTTTCACCATATTGGCCAAGCTGGTCCCGAACTCCTGACCTCAAGTGATCCTCTCGCCTCAGCCTCCCAAAGTGCTGGGATTACAGGCGTGAGCCACTGCACCCAGCCAAAAAAGAAATAAAAATAAAGAAGAAAAGGAGGTGATGGGTGAGGGAAAAACAAAAATACCAAGACCTCTGAAGCAGCAGGGGCTGGCTGTTGGAGCCTGAGATCAGTGGGCTTCGGTATGGGGCTGAAGTTTCTGATTTGATCACATAAATTAAGCAAAAGCTATGAGCTAAGGACCCATGTAATTAAAGCTATGAGCTAAGGACCCATGTAATTCTCCCATCTGAACTATGATGGTTCTATGCTTGAGGCCCTCAGTGGTTCCCTACAGCAGACACTGATAGTTGCCTACCCCCCATATCGTCTCCCTCTTCTTCTGATACCAATTCCCCCATGGATGATGGGTCCAGAAAGGCACAGCAATCCAATGAGATAAGTTGGCAGAGAAATTGGGAGGAGGCGCTGCACTGACAAAGGCACCCACAGGAAGAGCCAGCCTCTCCTCACCGGCTGGATGCAGTGTCTGGCTTTGACACCCAGACCTACAGCACCACTTGGCAACCATAAGGGGCAGGAACCTGAAAGATAAGCTGACACACTAAGTATGGGAGGACACGAAGACACACAACACCTGGGTCCTCAGTGGCCTTGCTCTGCTGCTTGAGCGCCTCACTTGTTATACAGCCAACATCTGCTAGCTGAGTGGGGGTTCTCTGTGATAACAGCTGAAGACACCCTAACAGACTCACTTCCTCTCTCCCTACTCCCAGGCTCCAGTCACAGTAAATGCTTTTTGGTTCCTAAAATGTGTCTTTTCTGCCTCTGGATTATAGCAAATGCTATTTCTTTCCCCTGGAATACTGTACCCTTCCTCAACATTGAGTTGACTGACCCCTACTTGTTCTGAGGCCTTCTCTGATGCCCACTCCAGGACAGACTATCAGATGCAAGGGCTCCAGAGGTCTACGACTGATCCTCAGGCCTACTTGTCAGAAGAGAGGAGAAGGCAAACGGAAGCTCAAAGACTTTGGTCAGAAATAGATCTGGAGCTGTAGAGCTCAGCATTTGGGCAGCTCCTGGTTTTAGGTCTAGAGGAGGCCATGACTGGCTCAAGAGGTGTGGAGTGTAAGGCTCTGAACAAGAAAGTCAAAAAGCTGTGAGAAGAGCCCTTCAGCAGGTCATCCAAGAGAGGAGGGCAAACCTCTGCTATGGAACAGGAGAACCTAGACTAAGTAGGCCCTCGGGGGAGAGGGGTGATGGACAAGCCTAATGGCGTGAAGGCCCAGGGCGTGGAAGGTTTCTGAGAGTCTGAGTGGCATCAGTGGTCTGCAGAGCACCAGCAGAGGCTCTAAACTCACATCATGAGATGCAAGCACTCCATGGTATAGAGCTCCCAAATCCCAGCCCCTGGTTACCTGAAAACTTCACTTTGCCCAGAATGTGGTAGATGTTTCCAGAGAAGGGACTTGGCTTGATGGAGGACTGAATTGCTGGTGGAGGAAGAGGACAGAGATGTCACCCACATGGAGGCACAGGCCAAATTCAGGATAGCACAGCTGGGAGTTTTAGGGACTGGGGAGGGACCATACACCAGGGTCTAGGGTTCACAGGTTCTACCCGCCACACCCTGTTGCTCCCTTGTGGCTCTGCCACTGTTCCCAGGGGAGGGAAAACCCTTTCACTGGAGTGGAAACCAAATTGTGTGGCCACCCACAATCCTCAAATCCCTCTGTCTGCTTTTGGTTTCAAAAGGTAAGAAGAGACACAGCACACAGAATACTGAAGTGGTACCAGGAGGTAGAATTAACTCTGGGGTACCCTTTTTCCAGGGTCTGGGACAACCCAGTCAAGGCTTACCTTTACATTTGGCCATAAAGCGAGTCTTCTCCAAGGGACGGCCAAACCATACGCAGATCTGAACCATTAGGGGATAGACTGATCCAGCATTCAATTTACCTTCATACCTTAAAAGGTTTAAAAAATTGTAAGCACAAATAATTTGGGTTTTGAGTATTATTATATGCTACTTTGAGATGAACTACATACCCCCTATCCTATAATATTTGAATTCTCCCTTACTTGTAAGACATTTTGCACACAGAAACTTGTTTAAATATGTATATGCCTCTTTCACTTTGAGACTGGGAAGCATGACTGCCCAGTTAAATCAGGAGTTTTCTGAGGATGAAGGTTTTACATAACCTTAGACTAGCAGTTCCTTGATGTCCTGTGTGCCTCTGAAGCCTCCCAGTCCCCATCTGAGTTTGGGGGTCCTTTCTGGTACAGTGGGGGGCTCTTGCTCAGGATGCCGTCCCATTTCTCCTTCCCTCCCCTCCCCTCCTCTTTCCTTTTCTTTTCCTTCCTTCCTTCCTTCCTTCCTTCCTTCCTTCCTTCCTTCCTTCCTTCCTTCCTTTCCTTCCTTCCTTCCTTCCTTCCTTCCTTCCTTCCTTCCTTCCTTCTACACTCTGGCCTAGGTGACAAAGTGAGGCATTGTCGAGGCTGAGGTAGGATGATCGCTTGAGCCTGGGAGGTCAAGGCTGCAGTAAGCTGAGATCAAACCACTATACTCTGGCCTAGGTGACAAAGTGAGGCATTGTCTCAAAAAATAAAAAGAAAAAAAGAAAAAAAAATTATTTATTTATTTTATTGAGATGGAGTCTCACTCTGTCACCCAGGCTGGAGTGCAGTGGTGCAATCTCGGCTCACTGCAACCTCCACCTCCTGAGTTTAAGTGATTCTCCCCTCAGCCTCCCGAGTGCAGCTGGGATTAAAGGCATATGCCACCATGCCTGGCTAATTTTTTTTTTTTTTTTTTTTTGAGATAGAGTTTCGCTCTTGTTGCCCAAGCTGGAGTGCAGTGGCACAATCTCAGCTCACTAC